CGCCCCCCCCCCCGCCAGTTTCACCCGCCCCCCGGGGTTTTGGAGCTGCCTTTTTTTTTTAAAAAAAAAAAAAAAAAGAATTATTTGTTTACACCCTTCAATTAAAACTAATATTATTATTTAATTTGGCCAGAGAGAGAGAGAGGGAAAATGAGAAAGAAAGGCACTAGGTTCAGGACTCGGACCGCAGGGAGCCATGTGGGAAGCTCAACACCTTAACCACCATGCCACCTCCCAGACCTGGGATCCAGCTTCTCCTGAGTGGCCATTGCCACTGAATCACAGAACCTTGGTGTTCTTGGACTCGGCCTGTCAGGTGAGCACTTGGCCTGCCTCCCTTGACCCAGCCCGGGAGGCGTATCAAGGACAACATAAATTACCAGCTAAGGGATCTCGAGGAGGAGCACACAGCTGGTGAGGGTGGGAGTCGTCAGCGAGACATCCAGAGGCTGAAAGGATGAGCAATTTTCTTTCCTTTTATTTTGGAGAGGTTTTTTTTTTTTTCTTTAATAGGGCATGTGTGCTCGCCAGAAAGACAGAGAGACTGAGAGGTAGAAAGTGAGAAATCACCCTCCAGGGGGATGGCCACGCCGCAATCCCTTCTCCTCCATTCTCCTCTTGGGATCTTGGGCTTGCATGCACACGCGCCTGGTGTGAATTCGAGTCACCGGATCCGGGACTCGAACCGCGGTTGACTACATGGGAGTCCAGAGGCATAGCCATTATGCTAACTGCTGGTCCCTCCTTTTATTCTTTTAAGAAAGTTTTTTTTTTTTTTTTTCTCTCTATAAGGTGCATGTGTTCACTGGAGAGACAGAGAGACAGAAAGCAAGAAATCACCCCCAAAGGGAGAAGGCCATTCCGCAATCCCTCTCCATTCTCCTCTCGGGATTTTGGGTCTGCACATACATGCACCTGGCATAAATTTTAAACCACTGGGTCTGGGACTCAAACCACAGTCAACTACATGGGAGTCCAGCAACGTAGCTATTACACCATCTGCCAGTCCCCAGAATAAGCTGTTTTTCTGCCTGTCAGAGAGTGGAGGGAGAAGGGAACCCAAGTGAAGTGGAGACAAAGCCAGCAGAAAAGACACCTCAGATGAGGGCTCAGCAGTGCGACTGGAGGGCTGTGAGCAGTGCACAAGCCTGTGGTCTGGAAACGGGGCACGAGGAAGGTAGTCGTGGGAGAAAAAGCTGAAAAAGAAAGAATCAAACTCTTATCAGTCACCTCTATGATTAATTCAGGGAGCAATGGGGAGACACTGTAAGGCCTTATATTCGTGTTTGTTTGTTTGTTGTTAAAATGCATTTAAAAATGAATTCTTGGCTTGCTTTCTCACTTTCTCTCTCATCAAATTAAAAAAATAAATAAATTAAATAAATAAATAAATAATTTTATAAAAAAATGAATTCTTAAATTCTTTTTCAAGTACTTTTAGAAAAAGTAGCTTAAAACTTAAAACATGGGCCAGCCGATGGTGTAGTGGTTAGGGCAACCGGATCCCACAAGGCTGACTACTCAGTGAGTCCCAGAACTGATGGCCTAAGAAATATGTAGGCTGGGTCAGCAGGTGGCATAGTGGTTAAGGCACTGGATTCCCACGTGGTTGACCAGAGTTCAAGTCCCAGACCCAGGAGCTTGAAACTAATACTGGGCGTGTATGTGTGTGCCCAAAATCCAACATCTGTAGAAGAGAACGGAGGAGAACGGATTGTGGCATGGCCATCCTCCCTGGGGGGTGATTTCTCACTTTCCATCTCTCTGGTCAGCGCATGCACCCTACAACTAAAATCTCTCTTAAAAAAAAGGGAGAAGAAAAGAAACATGCTAGGAACATCTACATGTGTGTCCAAAATCCCCAAAGGAGAAATGGAGAAGAGACTGCAGTGTGACTACCACCATTGTCATGGTTTGCTCTCACTCTCTCCACAACTTGGCTTCTGCCCTCTGGTAAATGAAAAGCCAAATAAAACCCTTAAACATGTTGTTGCTATTGTCTAAGATATGTTTCATGAGGTGATGTGAGCGAAATAGGATATCAGAGAGAAATTTCGAAGCAAGTAAGAAACAGACTTGGTGATGGGTGATAAGCACAGTTTCCACACAGCCTGAATTTGCCAGGACAGTCCCAACTGAAGATGTTTCATCCTACTTTTTCATTCATCCATTTTGTCCCCTTCCAACTTTTTACAGTTTTTTTTTTTTTTTTTTGGAGAGGTTTTCGCTATAGGGCACGTGCGCTCGCCAGAAAGACAGACAGAAAGCGAGAAATCACCCCCTAGAGGGATGGCCATGCTGCAATCCCTTCTCCTCCAGTCTCCTCTTAGGATCCTGGGCACGCACGCACATGCGCCCTGCGTGAGTTTTAAGCCACCGGGTCCAGGACGTGAACCGTGGTCAACTATGTGGGAGTCCAGCGACATAGCCATTATGCTAACTGCTGGTCCCCTTTTCACAGTTTTGAGTTATAACTGATGGACAATAAATGGCTCACATCTAACATCTCCACCAGATCAGCTTTGATGTATGTACAGAACCACAAACCTGTCACCACAAAAAATGACACAATAGGTACACGGCGTCACCCCCAAAAGTTGCCTCAGAGCTTGTTGCACTCTGTCCCTCCCTCCTCCCACCCTTCCACCCAGGTATCCACTGATCTGCTTTCTATCACTGGAGATTCATGTGCATCTTCCAAAGTTTCATACAAATGGGATTATGCAACGTGTACTAAGAATAGTACGTTCTACAAGATATAGAAGATGTGTGTGTGTGTGTGTGTGTGTGTGTGAGAGAGAGAGAGAGAGAGAGAGAGATTTTTGCTATTGGGTATGTGCATTTGCCAGAGGGAGACAGAAAGTGAGAAATCACCCCCCAGGGGAGATAGCCATGCTCCAATCCCTTTTCTTCCATTCTCCTCTTGGCATTTTTTTGGGCACGCACACACACATGCCCAGTGTGAATTTCAAGCTGCCAGGTCCAGGACTTGAACTGTGGTCGGTTATGTGGGAGTCTAACGCTTGAACCACTACGTCATCTGCTGGCTCCTTTATAAGGATTTTTGAGAAGAACTATTCATTTAATTTTATTAATTATTATTATTAGACTTACCTGGCAGGGGAAATGTCATGATCACGGGGGTGGTTTTCCCAGGGCCAGGCTCACCCATTGCACTGTGGGTGCGCTGACCCTCTGCGATTTCCCCAAATGTGGGAAACTCAGCTGCGTAATTTGTGGTAGCGGGGGACTGCATCCGTGCCCTCCTTAATTAAAGACAAAGAGAAAGAAAAAAAATTATTACTATTATTTTAAATTTGTTTCAGGGCACGTACACTCACCAGAGAGAGACGAAGAGAGAGAGAGGGAAAGTGAGAAAGCAAGCTGCCAGGTTCAGGACTTGAACCGTGATTGGCCATGTAGGAGTCCAGCAACTTAACCACCACACCACTGTTTATTTATTTATTTTTTAATAAAGATTTTTTTAAAAATTATTATTTACTGAGGCCAGCAGGTGGCGTGGTGGTTTAATGTGCTGGATTCCCACATGGCTGATAGCTATTTGAGTCCTGGACCTGGCAGCTTGCTTTCTTGCTTTCCCTTTCTCTGTCTGGTCAAATTAAAAAATAATAATAACACATGGAATTAAATAAAAATTTAAAAAATTCTTTATTTTATTCTATTTTTATTATTATTTAGTTACAGACCACATTTTTAAAGGTGGAGGATTGTTCTAGATTAGAGACTAAGAAGACAATTTCCAACTAGACTATGGAGAAACTGTTCACACAAAAACTTGTCCAGAAATGCTGATAGCAGTAATATTTTGGAACGGACCCAAACTGAAAACAATGCGGATACCCATCAAAGATGAATAGATAAACAGATCGTGGTGGACCCACACGATGGAACTTAGCAATGAAAAAGGACGAGTTGTTGATGTGAGAAAGTGGTAAACTCTCTCAAAATGCTCTGATTGTGCTGAAATGAAAGGAGCTAGGCCAAACAAGTAAAATTGGATTGTTTCCGTGTGGTACGTTTCATTGAGACTTCTGTGCTTTGGAAGTCAGTCTAACGCTTGATTTAGTTTTGGCATGAATACTGCATAGGCCATGCCGCATACCTCGTATTGGATCTCACGAGGGGGTAACTAGACTGTTCCATTGTGCGATGCTGGGTTTGATCACTTGGGTAAAGCAGCGATGGCCAGATCGCATCTCTATGTGGGTATGTTTTTTCCTTTGCATTGAGCAAGTAATCTGTAGGCTATAGAAGTGAAAATCTGGTGTGATGTTTACCTTCTGATTGTTTCAGTATTCATTGTAATCCTTCCCCAAGCTGATTATTTCATTAGTTGCTTTTGTTTTTAATTTTTAATTTGTTGTAGGGTGTGTGAGCTCGCCAGAGACAGAGAGTGAAAAAGCACATCCGGGGGGTTATGGCCATACTGCAATCTCTTCTCCTCCATTCTCCTCTTGGGGTTTTGGGTGCTCATGTGTGCATATGTGCATGTGTGTGTGTGTGTGTGTGTGTGTGTGTGTGTGTGCGTGAATACACACATCTGCTGTGATTTTTCAAGCTACCGAGTGACTCACTCAAACTGCTGGGTCTGGGACTCAAATTGTGACAGCCATGTGGCTTTACCCAACAATGTGGGTAAAGCCAGCTACTTCAGCCACCATGCCACCTATTGGCCCTCATTAGTTCATTTTTTTAAAGTTTATTCTTATTTGATTTCTTTATGGGAGAGAGTCAGGCACCTCTAACAGGGTCTTTATGCTGCAGCCCCGTAGCCCTGCTTCAGCTAGCGCAGATCACGGGCACATGTGAACACCCATCACGTACAGGGAAGCCTCTGGATGTGAACCTGGGACCTTCTCTGTGTGTGTGTGTGTGTGTGTGTGTGTGTGTGTGCGTGAATACACACATCTGCTGTGATTTTTCAAGCCACCGAGTCCAGGACTCAAACTGCTGGGTCTGGGACTCAAATTGTGACAGCCATGTGGCTTTACCCAACAATGTGGGTAAAGCCAGCTACTTCAGCCACCATGCCACCTATTGGCCCTCATTAGTTCATTTTTTTAAAGTTTATTCTTATTTGATTTCTTTATGGGAGAGAGTCAGGCACCTCTAACAGGGTCTTTATGCTGCAGCCCCGTAGCCCTGCTTCAGCTAGCGCAGATCACGGGCACATGTGAACACCCATCACGTACAGGGAAGCCTCTGGATGTGAACCTGGGACCTTCTCGTGTGGATGCAGTGTCACTAAGCATTGTGACTGCTGTACCACCACTGCTGGTCCCCATTAGGTTTTCGTGTTTGTTTAACTTTGTCAGAGGGCACATGCTCTTACCGGAGAGAGGGAGAAGGCATCCCCGATGGGGTGCAGTCATGCCACAGTCTCCGCCCTCCACCCCTCCTGTAAAGACACTGGGCACATACATACATGTGCCTGACATGTTGCTCAAGGAGAGGGCTGGGATTCGAACTGTATGCTCGTTCATATGAGATCTGGCTTCTTCAATCATTTGGCCACAGAGCCAGTCCATCATTAGGATTTTTTTTTTTTTTTTTGAGGG